GGGCTGAGAAGAACTAAGAGGCTAATTAGGCCAGTAGGCAGATGATACAAAAGGCACAGGAAGGACCTGGGAGATAGAAAGGGAGATTGCTCTTCTCTGCTTGCCTCAGGAGCTGAGAGCTCCCTAGGAGTCTAGGTGTGAGTCTATATAGCAAATAGGGTGGTGGAAACCACTGTGGTCAATAAACTGCATGGAGTGTTTTACCAGCAAAAAGGTCTCTGAGCTGTTTGTGGACTTGAGCACAGAGAAGAGAGAGTGGGCCCTACCACACACCAGTACGCATTTTATCTTTATTTTTCTTGTAACTATTTCTGACTCTCATGCCTCGTTACTCATTCTCACTTAAAATCTCTCTCTTTACAGTTAATAAACTTGTTTTATCTAATCAACTGTGTTCAAGCTGAAGTGCCTGGGTAATTCTATTTGGGGTAACAAGCTGTATGCATATTATTACTCCTGGGGGAATTTTGCACCACTGCACATGTGCAGGATTTATGTCCCCTGCAGATTTATTTACTTCTCTGCAGAAAAATGACTTTCTGACAGGGAAACAAAAAGAAGCCACAAGCATGATTATGCGACCCTCCCCAGAAGTATATTTTGAGTGCCCAAGGCAGCTAGCAGAGAGGTAAATCACTGTGGGGCATGTGGTGGGACTGGGGAAGACCCAGCTGGTGCCTCCTACCCTGCAGCAGGCTCAGCTGTTAGTCTTACCTGGCCTGGGGAGGACGGGACTTCCTCTTCCCCTGCATGGCATCCAGGGCCATGTCAGACTCACCCCCAGATTTCTCCATCAGCTCTAGGAAGCTCTGCAAACTCCCCCTCCCCCACCATGCTTCCTGCACCCATCACTACTCAGCTGCAGAGGAAGGGATCACTGTACAGGGAGCTGCTCGCCCATCTGCCCAACCCCCAGGCATCTAGATGCCCTCATGACCAGACCCTTCCACTGAGTTTCACCCCCCTCCTGCACCCAAAATCCCCCACAACGAGCACCACTCCCACTGCACCTGCACTATCCTGATGAGTCACCCGCACCCAGATCCCCACCCTACCAATCAACAGCCAACCACACCTAAATCCCCACCCCACTGAGCCTCTCTCCTCCAGCATCTAGACCCCCACACTGAATACCCTGCACCCAGACCCCCCAACTCTAACCCCGCCCCCGCTCCCCAACCACCTTCACTGGACCCCCCTGCAGAGTCCCATTACCGTTGCACCCAGAACCCCACAAGTCCCTGTGCATCCAGATCCCCCCCACATCCCGATCCCTCACTGATCCGCCCATATCCAGATTGCCCCACACAGAACCCTCTCACCCCACACCTGGATTCCCCCCCCAACTAAGCCCCTCCATACTTGGATCCTCTCTGGTTGAGCCTGCCTGCCCATGCCTGGTGCACCTGGCATGGAGGGGCAGGACCCTGGGGTGTTTCTGGGGCAGGCCCGATCCTTGCGCTGTGTCAGGGTTGGGTGCAGTTTCACCGCTAAGTCCATGTCTTGGGTGGGAGCTGCACAGTGATCTCCCACCTCTGTGCAGCCAGTGGCCTGTGCTTCCCACTGCCATCCTGGAGTCTCCACATTGACAAATAAAATGTGCAGAATTTTGAAGAGTTTTAAAATATTATGCACAGAATTTTTTCTTTTTTGTGCAGAATGCCCTCAGGAGTAAGATTATTCCATTAAAAGAACAATGGACTCAGTCTATCTCTGCTGGGCAGTACAGGACATACATTTCTGGGGGGAAATCTGGGACTAGGAGTGTGTTGGGGTCTCCCTGTCATAATCTTTAAGACTAGTGGGAGCCAAGGTTGCAGACAGAGTTGGGAGTGAAGTACATGCTGGAGAGTGTTTGTGAGCAGTCCAGGTTAGAGGCTACAGCAGCAAGGCGTTGTTACAGGGCAGGGGCGACAAAGCTACTCATTTGTCTGGATTGTACTCTGGAATGTCACACAGGAGTCCTGCAATACAAACTATTTTAAGGGTGTGAGTGTGTATCTATATAGAAAAGTATTCATTTTGAAAGGGTTATGGCTGCTTGATTTCACTATTTATATTGGATACACAAGAGCTCAGATCAACAGACCCTGAAGGTTGTAGGTGACCTACCTATATTAAATGAATTAGTGGTTTTGGTCTAATTCCTAGTCATGAAAAACACAAATCACAAAAATTACTTTTATAACTTACATAATTATTTTTGTAATCTCAGAAGAAAGACCCAGGCTGGTAGAGGTCTGTATGTGGGAAGTTTGCACTTTTACAGCCTACGCTATGCCCATTCAAAGGATAAGAATATAGAAATTCCATTTCTAAGGTACTGTTCTTCAGCATTATGGATTTCTTTAAGTTTTGATGAAAAGAAAAGGAGGACTTGTGGCACCTTAGAGACTAAGGGTATGTCTACACTATGAAATTAGGTCGAATTTATAGAAGTCGGTTTTTTAGAAATCCGTTTTATATATTCGAGTGTGTGTGTCCCCACAGAAAATGCTCTAAGTGCATTAAGTGCATTAACTCGGCGGAGTGCTTCCACAGTACCGAGGCAAGCGTCGACTTCCGGAGTGTTGCACTGTGGGTGGCTATCCCACAGTTCCCGCAGTCTCCGCTGCCCATTGGAATTCTGGGTTGAGATCCCAATGCCTAATGGGGTTAAAACATTGTCGCGGGTGGTTCTGGGTACATATCGTCAGGCCCCCCTTCCCTCCCTCCCTCCGTGAAAGCAAGGGCAGACAATCGTTTTGCGCCTTTTTTCCTGAGTTACCTGTGCAGACGCCATACCACGGCAAGCATGGAGCCCACTCAGCTCACTGTCCCCATATGTCTCCTGGGTGCTGGCAGACGTGGTACTGCATTGCTACACAGCAGCAGCAACCCATTGCCTTGTGGCAACAGATGGTACAGTATGACTGGTAGCCATCCTCGTCATGTCCGAGGTGCTCCTGGCCACATCAGCCAGGAGCGCCTGGGCAGACATGGGTGCAGGGACTAAATTTGGAGTGAGTTGACCAGGTCATTCTCTTTAGTCCTGCAGTCAGTCCTATTGAACCATCTTATGGTGAGCAGGCAGGCAATACGGATTGCTAGCAGTCCTACTGTACCATCTTCTGCCGAGCAGCCATGGGATGTGGATGGCTTGCAGTCCTTCTGCACCGTCTGCTGCCAGCCAAAGATGTAAAAGATAGATGGAGTTGATCAAAACAAGAAATAGACCAGATTTGTTTTGTACTCATTTGCTTCCCCCCTCCCCGTCTAGGGGACTCATTCCTCTAGGTTACACTGCAGTCACTCACAGAGAAGGTGCAGCGAGGTAAATCTAGCCATGTATCAATCAGAGGCCAGACCAACCTGCTTGTTCCAATAAGAACAATTACTTAGGTGCACCATTTCTTATTGGAACCCTGCCTGAAATACTCATTGATGTAAAGCCACCCCCTTTGTTGATTTTAATTCCCTGTAAGCCAACCCTGTAAGCCATGTCGTCAGTCGCCCCTCCCTCCGTCAGAGCAACGGCAGACAATCATTCCGCGCCTTTTTTCTGTGCGGACGCCATACCAAGGCAAGCATGGAGGCCGCTCAGCTCACTTGGGCAATTAGGAGCACATTAAACACCAGACGCATTATCCAGCAGTATATGCAGCACCAGAACCTGGCAGAGCGATACCGGGCGAGGAGGCGACGTCAGCGCAGTCACGTGAGTGATCAGGACATGGACACAGATTTCTCTGAAAGCATGGGCCCTGCCAATACATGCATCATGGTGCTAATGGGGCAGGTTCATGCTGTGGAACGCTGATTCTGGGCTCGGGAAACAAGCACAGACTGGTGGGACCGCATAGTGTTGCGGGTCTGGGACGATTCCCAGTGGCTGCGAAACTTTTGCATGCGTAAGGGCAGTTTCATGGAACTTTGTGACTTGCTTTCCCCTGCCCTGAAGCGCATGAATACCAAGATGAGAACAGCCCTCACAGTTGAGAAGTGAGTGGCGATAGCCCTGTGGAAGCTTGCAACGCCAGACAGCTACCGGTCAGTTGGGAATCAATTTGGAGTGGGCAAATCTACTGTGGGGGCTGCTGTGATGCAAGTAGCCCACGCAATCAAAGATCTGCTGATATCAAGGGTAGTGTCCCTGGGAAATGTGCAGGTCATAGTGGATGGCTTTGCTGCAATGGGATTCCCTAACTGTGGTGGGGCCATAGACGGAACCCATATCCCTATCTTGGCACCGGAGCACCAAGCCGGCGAGTACATAAACCGCAAGGGGTACTTTTCAATAGTGCTGCAAGCACTGGTGGATCACAAGGGACATTTCACCAACATCAACGTGGGATGGCCGGGAAAGGTACATGACGCTCGCATCTTCGGGAACTCTGGTCTGTTTCAAAAGCTGCAGGAAGGGACTTTATTCTGAGACCAAAATAACTGTTCGGGATGTTGAAATGCCTATAGTTATCCTTGGGGATCCAGCCTACCCCTTAATGCCATGGCTCATGAAGCCATACACAGGCAGCCTGGACAGTAGTCAGGAGCTGTTCAACTGCAGGCTGAGCAAGTGAAGAATGGTGGTAGAATGTCCATTTGGACGTTTAAAGGCGCGCTGGCGCAGTTTACTGACTCGCTTAGACCTCAGTGAAACCAATATTCCCACTGTTATTACTGCTTGCTGTGCGCTCCACAATATCCGTGAGAGTAAGGGGCAGATGTTTATGGCGGGGTGGGAGGTTGAGGCAAATCGCCTGGCTGCTGATTACGCGCAGCCAGACACCAGGGTGGTTAGAAGAGCACAGGAGGGCGCGGTACGCATCAGAGAAGCTTTGAAAACCAATTTAATGACTGGCCAGGCTACAGTGTGAAAGTTCTGTTTGTTTCTCCTTGATGAAACCCCCCACCCCTTGGTTCACTCTACTTCCCTGTAAGCTAACCGCCCTCCCCTCCTCCCTTCGATCACCACTTGCAGAGGCAATAAAGTCATTGTTGCTTCACATTCATGCATTCTTTATTCATTCATCACACAAATAGGGGGATGACTACCAAGGTAGCCTAGGAGGGGTGGTGGAGGAGGGAAGGAAAATGCCACACAGCACTTTAAAAGTTTACAACTTTAAAATTTATTGAATGCCAGCCTTCTGTTTTTTGGGCAATCCTCTGTGGTGGAGTGGCTGGTTGGCTGGAGGCCCCCCCACCGTGTTCTTGGGTGTCTGGGATGGAGGCTATGGAACTTGGGGAGGAGGGCAGTTGGTTACACAGGGGCTGTAGTGGCAGTCTGTGCTCCAGCTGCCTTTTGCTGCAGCTCAACCATACACTGGAGCATACTGGTTTGATCCTCCAGCAGCCTCAGCATTGAATCCTGCCTCCTCTCATCAAGCTGCCGCCACATTTGAGCTTCAGCCCTGTCTTCAGCCCGCCACTTACTCTCTTCAGCCCACCACCTCTCCTCCCGGTCATTCTGTGCTTTCCTGAACTCTGACATTATTTGCCTCCACGCATTCATCTGTGCTCTGTCAGTGTGGGAGGACAGCATGAGCTCAGAGAACATTTCAGCACGAGTGCGGTTTTTTTCTTTCTAATCTTCACTAGCCTCTGGGAAGGAGAAGATCTTGTGATCATTGAAACACATGCAGCTGGTGGAGAAAAAAAAAGGGACAGCGGTATTTAAAAAGACACATTTTATAAAACAGTGGCTACACTCTTTCAGGGTAAACCTTGCAGTTAATATTACATATGTAAGCAGTGTCAGGGTGAGCTCCACCCTGACATCTGGTGGTGAGGTGTGGCAAGTTGTGGAAAAGAACTTCAGGGGCCAATCTCATTTGCATAGGCACACCCACCCTGCCTAGAATGAGGCCATAGCTGCCCAAATGGTCACTTTGGCTGCTGTGGGATCCCCAGTGTCTCTGTTATTGGGGCAGGAAGAATAAATTGTTATTACCCTGATTATGGGAACTGTGCTTGGAACTGTACTTGGCCTTTTGTTATGATGGAGGGACTCACCATCAACTAAGTAGCACTCGCTAGGCAAGGGTCATGGGTTCCAAAACTCTGTGAATTGAGAGAGGCTGGGGACAAGTATTAATACTTGGTGGCATGGGCCCCTTGGTGAGGGCCTTACATGTTAGTTGCACTTCCTCCTCTCTCCACTGTGGAATATCAGAGCTAATTTTGATTTCATTAGAAGTCTAGTTACATGCTGCTGAGCTCACTTTGGGCTAATGGTGCACCAGCACTGAGGCTCCTCTACTACAAGCTGAATTTACCAAAGAGCTGAAATGACTAAGAGCTGAAATCACTGAGCGTTGTGTTAAGTAGTGGGGGAGCCTGAAGATATATTGTGGAGAAGTTTGCAGGATGGCTGGAGTGCCTTGTGGACAGGCTGGTGGAGCAGTTCCTGGGACGGCGGGAGCTGCTGGTGGGACACGGAGCGGAGCAGTTCGTGGGACGGCGGGAGCTGCTTGTGGGCCGCGGAGCGGAGCGGAGCTGAGCAAAGCAGTTCGTGGCGCGGCTGGTGGAGCAGAGCGAAGGCCTATGGAGCTGTGGGGCGGTCAGCTTCAGATCATGTAAGGTGCCTTTTACCCCCGCCCCCATCTCCACCCAGGTTGGGAAGTAAAACTCTGCAGATAAACTTTTGAACTCTGGGGCTGCCCTGACCAGGGACAGAGACTTTTGGGTCATTGGACTTTTGGGACTTTGGGTGATTTGGGGTTGCTGGACTCAAGAACAAAAGGGAAAGGGCATGCCCCAATTTGCTTGGGGTGGGTTTTTTTGCTCATGGGTTGTGTTATGAATCCTGTTGGTGGTGTTTCCCCAACATAATGCCACATTGTTTCTCTCTGTTATTAAAAGGCTTTTTGCTACACTCAGACTATGTGCTTGCGAGAGGGGAAGTATTGCCTCTTGGAGGCGCCCAGCAGGGGTGGTATATATTTGTCCCAGGTCACTGGGTGGGGGCTCGAGCCGGTTTGCATTGTGTTATTGGAATGGATCCCCTAGATATTGAACCCGGCCCTTGTTGCTGCCAACTCTGACGGGCAGAAGGGTTACACATACATAGCACATGTGCTTTCGTTACAAGGTCGCATTTTGCCTCCCCCCACCGCGTGGCTACCCCCTCAACCCTCCCTCCTCCCCGTGGCTAACAGTGGGGAACATTTCTGTTCAGCCACAGGCAAACAGCCCAGCAGGAACGGGCACCTCTGAGTGTCCCCTGAAGAAAAGCACCCTATTTCAACCAGGTGACCATGAATGATATCTCACTCTCCTGAGGATAACACAGAGAGATAAAGAACGGATGTTGTTTGAACGCCAGCAAACATACACTGCAATGCTTTGTTGTACAATGATTCCCGAATACATGTTACTGGCCTGGAGTGGTAAAGTGTCCTACCATGGAGGACGCAATAAGGCTGCCCTCCCTAGAAACCTTTTGCAAAGGCTTTGGGAGTACATCCAGAAGAGCTGCAAATGCCAGGGCAAATTAATCCTTTCACATGCTTGCTTTTAAACCATGTATACTATTGGAATCTGGAATCCGATGAAGTGAGCTGTAGCTCACGAAAGCTTATGCTCAAATAAATTGGTTAGTCTCTAAGGTGCCACAAGTACTCCTTTTCTTTTTGCGGATACAGACTAACAAGGCTGCTACTCTGAAACCTTTAAGTTTTGAGTATTTCTAAATAATATTACATTGTTGGTTGTTAAGATGAAGTGGGTACATTATTATCTTTTTGCTAATTGCTAATTGGCCAAAGCTTGCATATTCATGGAGTGAGTATAGAGAATGTAGTAACTTGAACAATTTTGAGCATTGTCTAGACAAGAAATATGAGCATATTCTCTGTGAGTCACTTTTATGTATATCTGGGCCTTGATTCTCTTCTCATTTAAACCATTCTAATTGAGGAGTAACCCCATTGACTTCAGGTCCCATGGCTAGTCTTATATAGATTGCTGTACGAGCTGGAACTTTTGTTTTACCTTACTACTTTATTTTGACCTTGCTGTTAGGGCTTATGTCTGGATTTGTTGCAGTGTGAAAAGAGCTAGGCTGACCACTCTGTTAATCTCAGATACTGTATCGAAGTTCCATTGAATGGGGGTGGAGGGAAACAGGCCTCTTATTTATACACCTAAACTCAGGTACCTGCATTTGAAAATGTTGACTCCACTTCTTTCTGTCATAAACGTTCCTGTTATAAGAAAAGGAGTACTTGTGGCACCTTAGAGACTAACCAATTTATTTGAGCGTAAGCTTTCGTGAGCTACAGCTCACTTATGCTCAAATAAATTGGTTAGTCTCTAAGGTGCCACAAGTACTCCTTTTCTTTTTGTGAATACAGACTAACACGGCTGTTCCTGTTATAGTAATTCTTTGTGGCCTCTTCCTTCAGAGGATCTCAAAGCACTAAGAACCCTAGATTACTGAGAAGGAGGGAGCTAGGTGTATTTTCTGCCACCTGCCTACCCTTCTTAGCAAGGGTTAGGCACAATAGCAGCCCTTGCACTTGAAGGAGCAGAGGAACTACTCCCTCTTTGATTCTCTACAGGTGTCCAGTGATGAGGACAGGGAAGAAGGCAGAGTCATGGCCCTGCTTCTCTATGTAGGCCAGAAACAGGGTGGAGCAAGCTTCATCATCCAAAGGGTGTGTTCATTCCTCATGTCTTCCATGGAATTGGAGGGGGCATAGTGTCTCTTGGTCAGTGCATCTCCACAAACCTAAAAATGGGCCGCATTGTGAGCTACACACTTTGGCCCATTAAGGAATAAAATGTCTCCCCAGTAAAGTAAGAGGTCCTATCCCCATTATACAGATGGGGAAAACTGAACCCCAAAGTGATGAAGCTACTGACCAAAGGTTACATAGCAAATCTGTGTCTGAGCTAGAAATAGCCCCAAGATCATTCTGCCTCTAATGTTTTCTATGTATGCATCCATATGTAATGCAGTGTTATGACTGAGCAGGCATTGCATTTTTATGCTGGATGTTGACAGAGGTCAATGAAAACTAGTAAAAGTAAAATGGTCTTACTGCACCAAGACACTAAGGGATTGTAAACGTGTTTTACATTAACAGGGGTATCAGTGTAGTAATGGAAAGTTAGAATTAAAAGGCCCTGACTGCCTCTTGTTACCTTATGTTCCCAGGAGCCTAAAATCTTTCAAGGGCAATCTGAGGTGAATTTAATTTAGCTGTCTTGTGTGAGGTAAAGGAACAACTGGGCCAAATACTGGCATCTCCATTTTTCATGGATTATCTTGTGAGGTAGGATCCTGCCACAGTTCAGCAAATGAGTTGGTCTTAGGGGACTTAGTTGCTGGATGATGACTCCAGAGTGGAGGCTGTGTGAACTAATGCCTTGGAGGAAGCTAGAACTGAGTAGCTACTTAGGAAGATTAATGTCTGGATTCATTAAAAGCTGCTTATGTGAGAGGTGATCTTTTATGCACAACTCACAGCCAATTAATAAAAATGGGTCAATTAGCCTGTCAAATGCAACAACATGTATCCAGTGTTCAGGCTCTTATGTGTTTATGAATGAAATATTAAAGTATATGAAGGGGAAACACCTAATTGCATCATACAAAGCAGATGCAGAAATTTAACTGAGGAAATTGTGGAACATTTCATTCAACTTCCATCAGAAAGTCACCCATTTATCCACTCACTTACTAGAGGACAACACATGGGTTTCTGTCATGGGCATGCTATAAGTGTACCGTGTCACTACAGAGTGCCTTTCATCCCCAAACAGCCTTTACAAATGATACATACAGAGGAATCACTTCACCTATCAGTGAAATGCAGCCACCTTTGAGGTGGAAGGGTGGCAGCCAAACTGTGCAACACAGCAATGAGGAGAGAGGAAAATTTAGGACATTAGAGCAAAGTCTTTTCATATAAATAAAAGTGCCTTTACCTTTAGTATACCTGCAGAGCAGAAAGAAATTCTTAATTTTTTAATAGTTTTTAAGATCAAATCCCAAAGATTCCAACACAGAAACTGAATTCTAGTAAAAGTTCATCTGACTCAGAAGCATGAAAAGCCAAGCTGACCTTGCCAGAATTTTGTTTTCAGGGAATCTAGATTAAATATGATGTTCAGATTCTTGATGGTATATCTGTGCCACGCACAGAAAAAAAAACAAAAAAACCCTTGGCAGCAAGTCACGGAGCCTAGGTCAACTGACTTGGGCTCACAGGCCTAGTGCCCTGGGGGTAAAATTAGCACTGCAGACATTTCTGCTTGGGTTGGAGACTGGGCTTAGAGACACCCCCCCACATACACACTTCTTCTCAGAGCCCGGGCTTCAGCCCAGGGTTGCTGGAACAATTTGTGTAGTGGGGGTGCTCAGAGCCATTGAACCAAACTGTAAACCCTGTATATAATGGAAACCACTTCAAGCCCTGGGATGCTGCCACACCCCCAGCACTCCTAGTTCCAGCACCTATGCTTCAGCCTGAGGAGGCATGTCTGCACTGTTAATTTTAGTCTGCTAGAGCAAGCCCCACGAGCCCAAGTTAGTTGACCCCAGCTGTGAGACTCACTGCCATGTTGGTTTGTGTGTTTTTGAGTTTGCAGTGTAGATGTATGTTAAGTCAACCCCTTGAGTATCCTCTTATGTGTA